TTGTAATTTTTAAGCCACTAATATTTTTAAAGATGTTCATTAGCTTAGGTGTCAAAAATGGAATGTAAGGTAGGCAACCATAAGTTATTTTCGATGGTAATATTGATGCGTTATGTGTCAATGTCATTTGTCGGATCTCATTGTTATGAAAATTTTGGTTGACAGAAACTTGTGAAGGAAAAGGAGAACCGAAAATGAGTTTATTTAACAGTCCTATGGGATAAGAATTCTCTTGTAGTATAGATCTCAACTTTTTTAGTCCCTTTTCCCTGAATTCTATGTGTGACAAGTTGATAACCCTCGTTTTTAAAGCCAAAACCAAATTTGTTTTTCATCTTAGGCGGATGTTGAGAATAAAAGTTTATGAAACGGTTACTAAAACAACAACAACATCCGCCTAAGATGAAAACAAATTTGGTTTTGGCTTTAAAAACGAGGGTTATCAACTTGTCACACATAGAATTCAGGGACAAGGGACTAAAAAAGTTGAGATCTATACTACAAGAGAATTCTTATCCCATAGGACTGTTAAATAAACTCATTTTCGGTTCTCCTTTTCCTTCACAAGTTTCTGTCAACCAAAATTTCATAACAATGAGATCCGACAAATGACATTGACACATAACGCATCAATATTACCATCGAAAATAACTTATGGTTGCCTACCTTACATTCCATTTTTGACACCTAAGCTAATGAACATCTTTAAAAATATTAGTGGCTTAAAAATTACAACCAAAAATGTGAAAACAGTATCGAAGCTTTACACAAAAACAAAAGATCCTTTCACAATACAGGAGTCATCGAATGTTGTTTATTCTATACCGTGTACTAATTGTAATAAAATTTACATAGGAGAATCATCTCGTAATTTTCACAGCAGGGTGATATCACATCGTAGTGATATAAAAACCAAAAAATCAATGCATGTGCATTGACAGAACATGCACTAACTTTGAAACATGAATTTAATTTCGATGATTCCTGTATTTTGGCAAAAGAAAAGAACCTTTCAAAACGTGTATTTTTGGAAATGTGTTTCATAAAATCTAGCACATCTTGCATTAACAAAAGGTCAGACATAGACAAATTAAGTAACATTTATTGTTATTTACTAGAAAAACACCAAAAATAAAATAAAAATTTACCTGTACATAAATTACACCTCTATGTATAATATGTTGCATACCATTAAGACAGGTTAAAAGCATAGTTCACTTAAAAAGAAAGATAACATCAATTACACCTAATTACATATTAATTACAGTGTTTTACTTTCCATTCTCTGCATGAGTTAATATACAAAAGTAAAACATGCTATCAACTAAGTTTTACCTACTATTTTTACAATAAATTTAAGAATTTTATAATGTATTGTGTCCATAATTGTATATTTTAATGTTTTAATGTGTGTTATAAATGTTGAGTGTAAATGCTTATACAAATAATCTCAACGACTAGTAAGTTACACTGAAGAATTGTGATATTTTTTTAAATATTTACAGTTTTGTCTTATTGCAGTGTCTTGAAAAAGGAAATAAAACGATTCCGAAAGCTCGACAAAAAAGTCAAAAGAGTGTTTTTTTAACATCCCGGCCAATATTCTGACTGCAACCCTAATAAACTGTTTTATTTGTTTATATCGACAGTCAATAATATCCAGTATTTCTTGTATTTACACGATGGGGTTTTTTGAGAACATCAGGAGAGGATATGGTTCTGCTAGCGTAGATTTCCTAAAACAATGGGCCAATTTCAACATCAAGCTTGCATCACTCAACAACAGAAGAATTTTCCTTCTGAAATGTAGAAAAAATCTTTGTTTTCCTGCACACATAGAGAATGGAAAGTTTAACATCAATAACTTGTTACATCATAAAGGAGGTAAATTAGGTAGTAAAATTCAAAACTTTAATTCAAATTTAAAAACCAAAGTCTTAAATTTAGAAATCTCTGTAACAATAAATGATATTACATACACAGAAAAGAAGTTACATCAACTAAAAAACACATTAGAGCAGCATTTACCTGCTCTTTTACTACAAGAATTCTATAGAAGGCAAAAAATTAAATACAATAAAATTTTCTTTCAAATTAAAAATAATAACATCAAAAAATTTAACAAAATAAAAGTTGATCAATTTTCAAAAATAACATTTCAAGAAAAATGGTTCAAAAATCTAACTGACATCACTTTTCCATACAATGTTAAAAACTTTTGTCTTTGGGTCCAAAGTTTTGCCTATTTCCTAGTGCTAGAGATTTTAAAATGTCTTCTCTTCTCTCAGATATTGAGTTTCTTATTTCTGGTCTAGAACCTCAAGAGAAGGATATTGCGAGATCTCAAAGCACTAATGTTATCACTAACTTTTTACACAAAACAAGTAAAGAAGGACATTTTTTGAACACAATATACAATGAGTGTAAACAATTTTTGAAATCTAATCCAGACATTTACATTGTTAGGAGTGACAAAGGGAATGTAACAGTGGCAATGTATAAAAATGATTACATTGAAAAAAGTAATAGTTTATTAAATGACACAAAAAGTTACATAAAACTTAAGAATAGTCCGGTGTGCACCCTCCAACAAAAGGCGAACAAGCTGGTCTCGGATTTAGCTGCTTCTAAATCCATAACAACAGAAGTTGCAAAATCCTTGAAAATTTACAATGCAGTTGCACCCAGGTTTTATACATTGCCAAAAGTTCATAAACCCACTATTTCGATGAGGCCTATTGTATCTTCCATTGATGCTCCCAATAGTAAACTTGCTAAACACCTTACAGATTATTCTCACAATTTCCTACAACGAATCCAATGAATTCTATATTAGAGATTCTTTTTCATTTAGTAACTTCATTAACAATGTTAAAGTTCCGAATAATTACATATTGATTAGTTTAGATGTTGTGTCACTGTTTACAAACTTACCACTAGATGCTATTCTTAACAGTATTAAAAATAACTGGAACAACATCTCTCCACATACTAAGATCAGTTTAGATGATTTCATAAGAATGTTAACATTTATATTTGATTCTAACATCTTTTTATTCAATGGTAATTTTTTTAAACAAATTTTTGGCACTCCAATGGGCAGCAAAATATCCCCCATACTATGTAATTTTGTTTTGGATGAACTTATAACAACGTGTAAAGAAAACATACCTTTTCACATACCATTTATTAAACGTTATGTAGATGATTTGATTTTATCGGTCCCTGAAAACAAGGTAACTGATGTTTTAAACACTTTAACGCCCAATGTGAACACCTAAAGTTTACGGTTGAGAGAGAGGCTGATAATATGATTCCTTTTTTAGACATGCTAATCCATCGTGGCAATGATGGCATACTAAGGACGGAGTGGTATCGTAAACCTTGTTTTAGTAACCGTTTCATAAACTTTTATTCTCAACATCCGCCTAAGATGAAAACAAATTTGGTTTTGGCTTTAAAAACGAGGGTTATTCAACTTGTCACACATAGAATTCAGGGACAAGGGACTAAAAAAGTTGAGATCTATACTACAAGAGAATTCTTATCCCATAGGACTGTTAAATAAACTCATTTTCGGTTCTCCTTTTCCTTCACAAGTTTCTGTCAACCAAAATTTTCATAACAATGAGATCCGACAAATGACATTGACACATAACGCATCAATATTACCATCGAAAATAACTTATGGTTGCCTACCTTACATTCCATTTTTGACACCTAAGCTAATGAACATCTTTAAAAATATTAGTGGCTTAAAAATTACAACCAAAAATGTGAAAACAGTATCGAAGCTTTACACAAAAACAAAAGATCCTTTCACAATACAGGAGTCATCGAATGTTGTTTATTCTATACCGTGTACTAATTGTAATAAAATTTACATAGGAGAATCATCTCGTAATTTTCACAGCAGGGTGATATCACATCGTAGTGATATAAAAACCAAAAAAATCAATGCATGTGCATTGACAGAACATGCACTAACTTTGAAACATGAATTTAATTTCGATGATTCCTGCATTTTGGCAAAAGAAAAGAACCTTTCAAACGTGTATTTTTGGAAATGTGTTTCATAAAATCTAGCACATCTTGCATTAACAAAAGGTCAGACATAGACAAATTAAGTAACATTTATTGTTATTTACTAGAAAAACACCAAAAATAAAATAAAAATTTACCTGTACATAAATTACACCTCTACGTATAATATGTTGCATACCATTAAGACAGGTTAAAAGCATAGTTCACTTAAAAAGAAAGATAACATCAATTACACCTAATTACATATTAATTACAGTGTTTACTTTCCATTCTCTGCATGAGTTAATATACAAAAGTAAAACATGCTATCAACTAAGTTTTACCTACTATTTTTACAATAAATTTTAAGAATTTTATAATGTATTGTGTCCATAATTGTATATTTTAATGTTTTAATGTGTGTTATAAATTGTTGAGTGTAAATGCTTATACAAATAATCTCAACGACTAGTAAGTTACACTGAAGAATTGTGATATTTTTTTAAATATTTACAGTTTTGTCTTATTGCAGTGTCTTGAAAAAGGAATAAAAACGATTCCGAAAGCTCGACAAAAAAGTCAAAAGAGTGTTTTTTTAACATCCCGGCCAATATTCTGACTGCACCCTAATAAACTGTTTTATTTGTTTATATCGACAGTCAATAATATCCAGTATTTCTTATATATATATATATATATATATATATATATATATATATATATATATATATATGCCTGTATATGGTTCTTCAATTGAGATATTAAGACGTACTATTAATGCTTACAAAAAACAATGTGATAAAATTCCAAACAGTATTGAAGTATATAAAAAAAAAAGATTAGTTTAACTGCGCAAATTATGAAGACTTAAAATATTGCAATATACAGATTCTTTACGGTAATTTAAAATAAAAAACTATATTGGTTTAATTAAATGTTTATTTTCCTTAAATTATGTCTAATACTTTATTTTTCAGGGTGTAGTGCTATTTGGCCTATTTCATCATGAACCTCTACACTATAATGACTACTTCTATCCATCATGGGCAGAATGGATTGGATGGGCTTTAACTCTTTCCTCTATCATAATGATTCCATTGTTTGCAATAATACAAATTTGCAAAACGAAAGGATCCCTTACTGAGGTAAATAATATAGTTATACAATTTAAAATATTAGAATAAATTTGACCTTCATATTAAAAATTCAAAGTTTAAATGCACAACTAATGGAATTTTTATTTTGAATTTAATTCTTTTTTCTATTTTTGCTAAATTTTCGATATGATTTTAAATATTTTGCTACTACGATTTTAAATAATATGTTACATATATTTTTTGTTGTTATTTTACTATTTTATCATCATCATTCTCTTTACGCTTACATTATGCAGGTTCCCTTTCCTAAAACAGATTTCTCCCTATTTTCATCTTGAGTCAAAAAAATATCTATAAATAGTTTTTTAGAAATTTTAAGATGTAAAAATATACGGATTAACAATAAACCAAACAAAAATGCAATATTTGAAAATAAGACGAGATTTACCAAATAATATAAAGATATTAAAATGAAAGGAGCAGAAAATGTTTATAGTTACGAAAAAGTGTTAGAATTTGAGTACCTAGAAATAACCATAACGAACACGGGAAAAGAAAAAGAAGAAAAAGAGAAAAGACAAAAGATTAATGAAGGTAAGCAGAGCGTTAAGGTCCTAAATTCAATGGACACATAATAAAATAATATTGGACGCACTAGGAAATTAAATTTTTTTTACCTTTAGACCTACAGCAGAATATTAGATGAGAGCAATAGTTAAACATTTTATATAAAAAATAATAAAAATTTCTTTTTTCCCTGATGAAAAAAACATCAGCCATATCAATTTAGTAATTTCCTAATACCGGATGAATTCTAGATCGTCCAGAAACGGGTGGGGTGCGGCAATACTCCAGCTACTTTTTTATTGCAAATGCTGTTTATTTATTTGCATCACCTTTATCAATGATAAGGAAAAGACAGTTAAGATTTAATTTAATATACTGATTTGTTTATTTCTGACGATTTCTTGCGATTTCGTATGAATGCGTACGAACAAATTTGACTATTCGTACGAATCTTTTCCAATGTAACCCGCGCCGCCTTACAAGGCAAAACAGACGTTGATAAAGATGTTATTAGAGATATGGGGAATTTAAATTCGACCTCATATCTCCTTAACTAAGCAAAAATCCTTAGTGAATTGGGTTTTTATACTCGTTCAGAGTAATCGGAATAAAAAGGAAAAGTCAGTTAAGATTTAATTTCATGTATAGTGCGTCAATGTAGCCGCTTACAAGTATTTCAGCCTGATAGGTCTCATCGGAACGGCAATTCATTGTCGCTCTGAACGTGAAAATAAATCTCTTCTGTCTTAGGAAGCCACTCTAACATGACTTCGATATACACAATCGAATATATACGCGACATCTGATAATAAAATCCGTAAACTAATTTTCGAAACCAAATTCAGATTTTTGCTTTAATCTTTGCCTTTTACGAATTTCAAGGCAAAACAGACGTTGATAAAGATGTAATAAGAGACATGGAAAATCTAAAATTTCCATTCAATGTCATATCTCCTCAACTAAGCAAAAAATATTTTAGAAATACTTTTGCTGACAGATTGTTTTGGACGTTTCAGTCAAGAAAATGGTTAGATCCACCATTCTATCATCGTATCAGCACAAATCTAAATAACCTACATATCACTGTACCTCCTATATACACACTTACAAATTCTGATAATTTTTCCACCAAAGACAATAGTATCTCTCCCAAAGTGTCTTACATCATTTAAAAAATCTCATATTTTATCATATCTCTCTAAAACTAACCTAAGACTTATAGTCATGACAGTCAGCATTATATGAGCTCAAATCGAATGGAGTGGTGCGCAATTCAACCAGCGAAGAACGGTCATTTCAGCCCTCTATGCAATTCACTATATTCCCTGCTGAACTATTTCTTCAGGTCATTCTTCAGGCAGTAAAATTCGTTAATGAAAATAATATTGTTAATAGCCAAATGATTAGTAATTCATTGAGTTTATTATCCTCATTAAACAAACTTTTTACCAAACACTATTTTAAGTTTAAATGAATCATCGAACTGTTTAGTTTTTGGACCCCCTTTACATGGTGGAATAAAAGGAAATGAAAGAGACAACAACGTTGCACAATAAGCAATTACCAAACCAATTTCTATTGTCAATGTCTACTTGTCACCACCTCTATGTCAAACAGTATTTTAAAAAGAAAATAATGAACAAATGGTACGAAACATATGACGTCTTAAATTCAAGCCTTAGATCCATAAAACAAGTTATCCTACTATAAAGCCTACCTATAAAAAATAGAGACCGAGTTATAATCTCCAGACTACGATTAAGACACATCAAGATCACAGATGATTTCCTACTACAGAAGCAACCCAATTCCTTGTGTTAGGCGTGTTAAAGTGATCTAAGTACATCATTATTAGCGGAGTGTCCGTTTTACGCATTTGAAAGACAACATGAATAGTTACCTACAACAATAAAAAACATTATAAGTAAACATAGTGACCACAATCGTACCATACTTTTTTGGTTTCCTCTGGACTAATTAACAAAATCTAATTGTATTCTTTGTTTTTTTTTATATTTATGTTATCTGTAAAATCGACCATTGCTAATTATCCTTAGTGGTTGAAGCAGTTTTAAATAAAAAAAATCTTTTCATTTTGATGGCTTTACTTGAAATTTTGACAGTAGGTAGAAAATAGCTCAAAAATTAAAATATACCCTATACCATTATTTGATTTTAATCTAGAGGTAGTTACCACTCTCGACTCGACGGTTAAAAAAGTTAACCACAAAAACTATGATAGTCGCTAAAATAGTGAATTTTAAGATAAGAATGTTTGATAATGTTTTTTCGAGAAGTCAATGGTTTTTTAGTATTTCGTTACTAAAAGTTTACAAAAATTATGTCAATAAAGTATGTGATTTGCATAAAAATTAAGGAAAGTTATAACTGAAATAAAGTGCTCTTATTTTTTTTGTGAAGCAGCAAGTAACAAACTCCCCCCACCAAAACCACCCTAAGTAAAACTATGTGCTGTTTTTTTTAATTTACTTTATTTTACTTGTACTGTACTTCATATTTAAAAAAAAATCGAGTTTAAAGTGAAGACACTATTTTCGGAATTTCTCAAGAAATCCAGTTTCTTCAAAATACCTTAATATCTAATAAAGATACAAAAAATGCTGGAATATAAAAAAACAGCTTCTTTACTAAAGATGTTTATTTTTTTTTACCTACTGTCGAAATTTCAAGCAAATCGATGCATGTAAAAAAACAGAGGTTGTATACTATTTTTACCATCATATCCTGGACTAGAATGCTTTAGAACAATGTTTAATATTTGAAATAATAATCCACAAGGAATCTACGTTTCTGTAGTTGGCTGTATACCATATATTAAAAATTTATTAAAAATCCTTTGTAAAAGGTATATATTTAGACATATATTATGTTATGGACAAAGTGATTATGTTAGCCATTATGTATAATGCCCGGTCATTATTAATAATGACTAACTTCAGCGGGCAATTTGATAAATCGGCGTTCTTAGTAAATCATGCGATCTTCAGCAGCGAATCAACGCGCTGTATAGTCACCGAAGCGCGTCGGCCATTATCAGTTGAATGTTAGTAATGGTATATACGACAAGTGGTTTGTTTGTGACATTTCTTTGTTATTTCTTTGTTTGTTAAGTATTGCATAGTGAACTATGGAAAAAGAAGAACCATTAAGTAATATGAAAAATCGATTTAACAATCGATTAACTGAATTAATTTCAGCAAAAAGTCAAAATTCACAAATTTTCACAAAAACAGCCTACATGGAAATGATACAGAAGGTAAAAAACTCTAAAAGTAAACAGAAAAATAAAACGCCGAGTGATTATCAGCGCTTACGAAGATTCGACGTTATGACGATTCGAGAAGTAGAAGAATTGATTGTTCCTGTGAAAGAAGGTAACGTAATTAAGTACTACGTCCATACAGAACAAAATATTTGATACATTGCGCGATCTTCATATTACTATCGGGCATGGTGGTAGAAATCGAATGGAGAAGGAAGTACATTATAAATTTAAAAATATTACAAGGGAGATGATTGTTATCTATTTAAATTTATGCATGACCTGTCAGAAAAAACATAATGTTTCAAAAAAAGGCTTGGTGGTGAAACCAATATTGAGCAAGGAAATGAATTCAAGATGCCAAGTCCATTTAATCGATATGCAGTCACAAGCCGATGGCTGTTATAAATTTGTGCTTGTTTATCAAGACCATCTTACCAAATTTGTCCAACTTCGACTTCTTACAAGTAAAAGGGCAGAAGAAGTATCGCATGTACTTTTGGATATTTTCACAATATTTGGGGCGCCGAGTGTGTTTCATAGTGATAATGGCAGAGAATTCGCTAACCATATTATCAAAGAGCTGTGTAGCATGTGGCCCGAGTTAAAAATGGTACATGGCAAACCCAGGCATTCTCAGTGTCAAGGATCTATAGAAAGGGCCAATCAAGACGTAGAGAATATGCTTAGTTCGTGGTTAGAAGACAACAATACCAACAAATGGCCTGAAGGCTTACGTTTTGTTCAACCAATGAAAAATAGAGCCCATCACACTGGTATAGGTTGTAGTCCATATGAAGCCATGTTCGGCACAAAGTTGAAAGTTGGTTTAAAAAGCTCTCTACCTCAAGAAGTTCTGACTGATGTTAATTCGGAGGAAGACTTAGAGGTCCTGTTCAAAAATAAGAGGCTGGGCTATCTACAGAACCGGATATAATACAAAATAATAATATAAATGTGGACTCTTCAATAATGTTGCCCGAATTAAGTTTCATTTCATCTGGCTACACCCTGGACGTTCAAAAAATTGGAGCAATTTTAATTGATGAAAATTCATCTCGTGAATCTAGTCAAGTTCCAGAATTTTTAACAAATGCGGTAGAAACGGCTATTGTAGTTAATTTAGAAAATAATGAAAATCTGGATTCCAATATAGATATTAGAATAAACGATGTAAGGAAGAAAAGAAAATTGGCTTTGACGAATCTAGAACAACAAGCCGAGAAGAGGTTAAAATTTTCCAATTCCAAATATCCATCGGCTAAACGAGGTAACACAGTTATGATACGAGTGCCAGATGTGGACCGAGCTCGTAGTGATCAAAGAAATCTACTAGCTATCGTGACAGAGATAACTGAAAAAAAGCTTTACAAACTAGGCACAAAAGATGGCATACTAAATCAGTTATATTCAAGAAACCAGTTTACCGTTTCTAAAGAAAAGTTTATCTCCATAAAAAAGATTCCAGACACTGAGATATCTCTTAGAGAATGCGCAAGAAAATCTTCTAACTGTGGGGGACAAGGATACAGTAGGTGCGGTTGTAAAGGTAGGTGTAAATCCAATAAGTGTAAGTGTCGTAAAGAAAGAAAAAATATGTAACTCCAAGTGTCACCATAGTGGAACATGTTTGAACAAATAGTTATGTATTGTAAATAATTCATACAAAATAAATTTCGATGATGTAGCACGCAAAGGTGGTAACTGTATTTTTATTTAAAATTGAGTTTGATTTAAAAGAAAAACGATTTAATTTCTCACTGGCCGCTTTGTGTGTTACCATCGATTTCGGTCATTAGAAAAAAATGCAAATAAAAACACAGAATTCTTTTTTTGGTTTCCTCAATTACCGTTAATACGTATTAAATTTTTTATGTATACTTATTCATTAAATGTACTCATGTGCCCTTTCACAGAAGACTGCAAGACTGTTTTCATTAGTATATAAGAAATACTTTAGTTTTTACTACATACTTGATTGTATCAAAATAAATATATTTCATATTTAATAAAAAAGTAGTTTTAGTTATCCTGTCTAGTAGATGCCAAGCATTATACATAATGCCCGGGCAATGTGATGAATTTAATAGTATTTATTATATTGACCAACAGTATTGGGTATTTTTATATAGCCCGGGCATTATGAAAATGACCAATTAATCATATGGTCCATAACATATATATTTAGGAATATATTTAGATATATATATATACATATATATATATATATATATATATATATATATATATATATATATATATATGTAGATATTTAAATATATATTTAGGTTATTTATATTTAGATTTTAACTTTAACATCCTAAACCATTATAAGAAAATTTGTAAACTAAATGTAATTAATTATTTGTTAACGAGTTTTAATTCATATATTTAGTGGCTACATTCATGTATTCTTAGACACTGATGATGGAATATGGATTCCGAAAACATTTTGTCTGTTTAACTTAGCCGTTTGTCTAATTTCTTTTATATTGTATTTTTAATAAATTTGAAATAATGTTTACAATATTAAAATAATTTTTTTATAATAATTAATAATAATTTTGTTCTTATGTTACAGAGGTTAGCTTTAAGCATCTCCCCTGTAGAAGAACATGAAGAAATACGAAGAACTAAACTAGCAAAAAGATTTAAAGCCAAACATTGGTTTTATGTGTAAAGATCTATATATACGTGTTTTAGTATTTACAAAATTTAGAAGAAGATGTGTCAGCTCATAACAGCTTCTTCTAATAAATAACGAAAAACATATTTATTTATTTTTTAAAACGTATACATAAATACACGACGAAATATATAGTCGAAAAATCAAATAGAAAATGTACAAAATATTGGATATTTTATTCTAGATAACATTTAGGAGTTTTTAATAATTATTTTTATTCAAAAAATATATACATAATATGTATAAAAACAATATATATTTAATAATGAAGATAATTATTAACTTCTATTTATTAATATGTAAATTTTGAAGTGGGAAAAAGAAGTAATTTAATCCAAAAATAGAATATAACAGTTAGTACAGATTAATCGTTTAAATGCCCCTCTTCAGTAGATAGGTAGAAAAACTATATCTTGACATCTTTTAATGTCGTACTATTCTACCCCTACCACGAAAGAGTCAAAGATGATCAGAATGATCATATTTTGGTGAAGGCAACGCCCCTACTCCTTATCTGCGCGTCCACCAAATTGCTGCGTGCTTTAGCGTGGTTGCAGTATGGCAACGGTTGGCATGTAAAATAGCAAATATACAAAATACTAAAATTTTGATAGTATTATTTTTGAGAACAGTAATATGATGTAACTTTAATCAATAAACCTAAATTAATTAACCCAATTGTAAATACTGCAGATATCCTGTGTTCCTTTTTCGTTACTTATTACTTTTGTTGTGTTTATCTTAGATCTTTTCGTAAAGCTTTTTCATATATTATGTACATTATTCTTGCGTTTTAAAAATGGATTTTTACCGCACAAGGAGTCTATCTATACTAGGCAATTACGAAATATTAGTAATTCTAGAATGGTACCGTCCACTACACAAATGCACTCCTCCCATACAACTCCTTATTTAGGTAAAATCAATCTGTTTTCTACCACCCCTTTCAGGGTCCCTCAAACACCTTCATGTATATGCACTACTTTCGAATATTAATATCGAATTATCCAAATATAATAAGAATAAAATCATCCTTCAATCAATATTGTATGAATACACATAACGAACTTCGATAGATCCTTACTTAGAGCATATGAAGTAAAGAGTATTGACTGTGCTGTAACAATAGCTACAACTACTGTTAACCAATTTCGACTATCTAACAATTACAGTATCTATACTATTTACCTATATAGAATACTACAAGCTGTGAAAAATCCACTCAATGACAATAAAGCTATTGCAATCTGTACTCTATCAACGATGCACGATTTCCATATGAAACTTACATTCTATCTATAGTCCAAGAAATCCAAAGTATATGTAAACATCTTAAAATTAATGAAATGACAGTAAAAATTTTGTGGGTCTCATCACGCATTGGTATTCAAGGTAATCAAAAAGCCGATCTAGCAGCACATCAAGCCTGTTCTCTAACCTTAACAACAAAATTCAAACATCGTCAGATCTAAAACAAAACACTCAGCCAAAAAATGATGGGCATTTGGAATGATCATTGGAAATGAAGCAATACGAACTTAAGCATTCTTTAACCAAACACTTTCTACCACCAGCTCCCACCAATAAAAAGAGAGGACAAATCTATTATTAGGAGATTAAGAATAGGACATATGCGTTAGATATAGACACCTAATGAATGCCGGCAATCAGACTTTTGCCAGTACTGCAACACCACGACTTCAGTGAAACACGTACTTCTTTAGTGTCAACACTACCTAATGGTCAGAAATAAATACAATCTTGGTAACAACCTAAAAGATATTCTTATCTTAAACAGCAGTAACTATAAAAATGTATAAAACTTTTTAAGAAACACAAAGCTATAAAATTTAATTTAAAAAAACATGTATTTTAAAAAATGTACTGTAGCTAATATTGTCACCAATGTAAAAGTAATAAAATGTAGATATAAATGTAAAGTGTACCTGTGTCAACGACCATTAGCAGTCCAGACACATATTTCGAAATAAAACAAAAAAAATTATATTGTCAAATATTCTATATTATTAAATGTTACTGATATTAAGACTAATAGTGTCGACGAGCCTGTCAAAATGGCTACACTTTTATAAAGACAAGTTAACATTTTTTCAATATGGTAAATGATTTCCTTCTAGCTATGTGCCTGTCGCCCGTCGGCAAAAAAGTTTATGATAGACATTCTCACCAAACTTTGGGTATCGCATCATTATGCCGAGTCTGACACGATGTCTCTATGTCTCTCTGCTTCAAAGGTTGTTCACTGTCCCATCTTTTTTTTATTTCGTCAATTATTTTTCATCTATTTCTGAATGTAAGTCCTTCCTAATGGCTTGCATCTGTTTCTATCTTCCATCAATCTAATCGACTGTTTGCCTGTAACTGCTTTTATATTATCTTCCCATCTCTTTTGGGATTTTTCCATACTTCTTGTCGCTCCCTGGGTCTCTATTCTAGAATTCTCCGTGTCCTCCTGCTATCCTTATATCTGGCT